TAAAGGTGGGGAAGAAGAAAGGGGTATTATGATTAGCATGTATAATGTGGGGGGTCGGGGAAAGGGGAGGGCTTTGCAACACAGGGAAGACAAGTAGTGATTCTACAACATCTTACTGCGCTGATGGACAGTGACTGTAGTGGGGTTTGTGGGGGGGACTTGGTGAAGGGGAGAGCCTAGTAAACATAATGTTCTTCATGTAATTGTTGATTAATAATAAAAAAATAAAAAAAATCAGTGGAAGCGGGTTCCTTACTATCACACGTGGAAGGGAGAAAACTAGGATGAATCTTTGGTATTTGGGTGGACTTAGAGGAGTTACTGTGAACTCATGGCTTGCAATATATTCAGATATAGAAATAAATACAGAGGTAAATGCGTGTCATGCAGGAGCAGGAGGACTTAAGTGGGAAGGAACATCATTTGGGGGGTAGTTGAATCTAGGGTGTGAGCTGAGAGTATGTGGAAAGATTTAGTTTTTGGAGTGTTTCCAGTGGCCTTTGGAAAAAGTCATATTTAACACTTAATTTATCTCCTAATTTGTGAGTCCATTTAATTATCCTAACTTACTAAAAAATTGTCATACACAAGTAGTGAAGTGACTCTATAGCATCTTACTATGCTGATAGTGACGGTAATGGGGTCTGTGGTGGGAACTAGATAATAGGGGGAGTCTAGTAACCATAATGTTGCTCATGTAATTGTACATTAATGATACCAAAAAAAAATTAGTCACACATGCCTGTATAGCCTTTTGTTGTGGTGGCATGAAAATTCAAGGGATAGAGAAGGGTGGCCTACTTCTCTAACATCCAGTAGAAAGAACAGATTTCTGGTGTTGCTGGTGGTGACTGTAGGCAGATGAATGGAGGTACGTGATGGAGTTGGTAAAAAATTACATGGAATAACAGGGAGCACTGGGGAGCAGTTTCTGAAGGCAGATGATCTAAACTTTGACTCCCTATGACATGAAAGGATGCTGACTCATGAAAGTGGGGAGGCTGACATGTGAGTTTGTCAATGATCCTCTTAGAATGTGGTCCCCAAAAGTTGCCTGAGCAGCCTCAAGTGATGAGGAGGATGCAGCATGAATGAGTGTGTACCCAGGTTGGGCATTTACATGGAGATGTAAACAGATATTTAAATTTCATTCTTGCTGATGACAGTTCTCAGGAAAAAATTCTAATTGCTTAGTTGTTCCTCTTTTCCTTCACTTCCTTTTTCTTTGCCTACCCTTTGAGTTCCTACTTATATTTGCAGGCATATGTTTAAAGGCTGTTATCCTCACTGCGCTGGTCCGGGGGATTGGACCAACTAAAAATCTGTGGTTTTTAGTTTTCCCCGAGATTCCTGTAAGGGTTATTTGCCCATCCAGGGCCTCTATTCTCATCTAGTTGTATGATAGGAAGTAAAACCAGTTACTACATGTTTGGGTTTCATTTTAAGATGCTTTAAGGAAGAGATGAAAAGGATTTTTTGAAGAGAGCAGAAGATCTCTTCTCAGCATGACTTCAGAGATCACTTATGCTGAAGTGAGTTTCAAGAAAGAATCCAAGCCCTCAGACACCAAATCAAAGCCTCCTGCAGGTAAGACACACTTTCTGGTGGTCAGAGAATAAGCTGAAGAATGAAGAGAAAATACTACAAACAAAGCATAGGTAATGCTAATAGCTGATTCTCCTGACCGTCCACAGTGGGGAAACAGGATTCTCAGAAGACTGAGTTGTTGAGGATGAGCATTAAGGGATTGTACAGTTGTAGAATAATAAACTGAGGTGTGAGAAAGCCTTGTAGTCCTAAATTACAAGAATGTTAATTATACTGAGATGTTGTGTGCCTGTGCTTTCTGAGGCTGAGTGAGTACTTGTTAAGATTTACTCTCTTAGCAATTTTCAAATATGCAATAACATTTCATAGTTCATAATATTATTAAAATCTGTAGTACTATTAACTATAGTTACCATGCTGCACATTACAGCCTCAGGACTTGTTTATTTTAATAATCGGAAGTTTGTATCTTTTGACTACGTTCATTCATTTTACTAGCTGTTCAGCCCTGCTTCTGGTAACCACCAATCTCATGAGTTCAGTTTTGATTTTTTTTTGGATTCCACATATAAGTGAGGTCATACAGTGTCTGTCTTTCTCTTTATGACTTATTTCACTTAGCATAATGCCCTCAAGGGTTCATCCATGTTGTCACAAATGGCAAGATTTCCTTTTTTTTTACTGGCTGAATAATATTCTTTTGTGAATAAATAACACGTTTTCTTTATCCACTCATCCATTGATGGACACTTGAGAAAATAATTCTCACGAAATGGTGACTAAAAATGTTTGACCTTATTTTAAGGATATGATGAAGAATGCTTATAAAGATTTATCTGCTATTGCATTATTTGAAATAGTTAAAGTTGGAAACAATCTAGAAGATTATTTAAACATACAATGAAATAATATGCAACCACAATAGAATATATTAAAGAAGAAACTATGGTAGTATGAAAAATGTTCATGATATAGTGTAAAAGAAAAGAGTAGGTCAGAAACCAATATATATGTTATATCAATCATGTGGGAAAATGTGAATGAATGTATACACACTTTAAAAATTGCTAGAGGATATACACCAAGATATTATTAAGCTATCCCCAATGGTAGATGTCTGTGCTTTTATGCATTTTCCAAAGTTTCTATAGGGAACATTATTCTTTCTTTCCTATTTTCATATTATTCAAATATATTGTTGGTAATAATGTGTCATCCAAGAAAAGAGAGAAGAGGAAGAGAAGAAAGAGGAAAGTCAGAATTTTTATAATTAAACTAATTTTATTTCTCCTTCAGCTCCCAAAGAGAACACCAACCTTCACAAAAGTTATCCCAGTTTTCTTACGCTGCTTCTTGCCTCAGTGCTGATACTTCAGCTGCTATTGGCAATCTCATTTTTTATTGCTTTTATCAGTAAGTATCCAACTGAATCTATTAGGAATGTGTGCTTTATGTGAAGAGATGACCTCCATTAGAAACTGACATTTAGCAATGGGTTTATTCAGAAATCTGGAGAAGTCATCTCTGGGGGGAGACACAGTGAGTGGGAATCCATTGGGAATTTTATTCATTGAATTTAGTTACTTTTCTATAAAAATAATGGAATATACTCTTTAGAGAAATTGAAGAGTATGTGTGTGCATGTGTTTGTGTTGTGAATGAAATCTATATGGCACCACTTCTGTACTAGACAGTTGTTTAAATGAAGACAAATGTGTTTTTCCTTAGTAGTGTTTCCTTAGGCCTTTGGGATGCACAGACAAATATTTTGGGATGAGAAGATGAATCTGAAGGAGATGGGAAGAAATATTCCAGAAAGAGTTCCCCACTGAATTTTTACCTTAGTTTTTTCTATCCTGCCCAAGACTGTGTGAGATTTAAAAGCCAATTTTGCAAATAGGTGAATTTCTGCACATCTTTGCTTTTAAGAATTTAACAGTTTTAAAAGGTATAAGAACTACACTTAACCCTTGAACAAAGCCAGGGTTAAGGACGCTGACCCTCCACCCCCAGTGCAGTTAAACATTGATGTGTAAGTTTTGACCCCCTAAAAACTTAACTTCTAATAGCCTACTGTTGACCAGAAGCTTTACTAATATCTTAAACAGTTATTTACACACATTTTTATGTTGTATGTATTATGTACTGTATTCTTAAAATAAATAAAGCTAGGGAAAAGAAAATGTTTTTACAAATCTCCAAACCATTTTCCAATATATTTATCAAAAAAAAATCTACGCATATATGGACCAAGTGTAGCTCAAACCCATGCTGTTCAGGGGTCAAACACAGTTTATATTTAGGTAGCTAGTTTGTTCATTCATTTGGCCGTTCAGTAAGCAATGGTGTCCATCTACTTTACGTCAGGCACTGTGCCAGAGTCCAGACAGAGCCATAGTCCTATGTCTCAGAAAGTTCTGCGAATGATGGTAACCGATCAGATGACCTAGTGGTTATAATATTATATGGCAAGTGTGGTGCAAATAAGCACAGGAGGCTGAGATAGGCTTCCTGAAGGAGATGATGTCTGTAGCTATACCAAGAATGACATGGAGATGTGAGACAGCATAAAAGAATTTGGGAAGTATAAGTGTAAATGACTGGAACATATAGCACTAAGTAAACTGTGAGAAATGAAGTTGTTGGTGGGGGAAGTAAGCAGGGCTCAGATGATGAAGAGTGTTGGTTGTGTAATTCTAGAGTATGGATTGTCTTCTGCTGCTTAATAAACTCATCTAAAATTTACTGGATTAAGATGACTTTTTATCTCCTGAATCTGTGGTTTGGCCATTTGGACTGGGCTCAGCTGGGAGGTACCTTTGCCCTGGCTGAAATCATGCATGCATATGCAGTCAGGTGCCTGCCACTGGCAACTGAGCTTTTGAGGAAGAGGATGTCAGCTGGAATGACATGGGCAATTTGGTTGTTTCTTTGGTAATTCATTAGGTTAGCCTGAGCTTATTCAGATGGTGACCTGTAGGATCCCAAGAGTGAAAGCAGAAGTGAGCAAAGCCTCTTGAAGCTTTGCTTGGAACTAACCAGGGTTGTTCCTGCACATTCTGTTGGCCAAAGGAAGTCCAGATTCAAGGGACTGACTGGAAAAGCTGAGAAGTCATATTGCAACAGGGTTTACAGAGCTGAAAATTGTGGCCATTTTTGCAATGTGTCACAGTCATGGATGCCACTGAAGAATTGTAAAAAGGCAAGTAATTTGACTTATAAAAGTATGCTTTGGCAGAGGTGTGTAAATTGAATATATGAGGACAAAATCAGAAACAAAAAGAGCTGTTAGAAAGCCAATTCAATGTCCAATTGAGAAATATTAAGAACCTGATCTAAGGCTACTGAAAGAAAAGAGGGGGTCATTATGGGTGATAATGAGAAGGTAGAGAATCAAGACGGTAGAGGTTTGATGAATATTAGACCTTGGCTGAGAGAGGTAAAGTGTGGCTATAATATTTTGAGTTGGTGAACTCAGAAATCATGAAGTTCATCCAAAAATGTAGCTAATGTAGGATGAGCATCAGGTTTGGAATGGAAGATGGTGATTTAAGTTTTGGGCATGTTGAGTTTTATGTGACTGGGAAACTCAACTGGACATGCCTAGCAGGAGGCATATTTGTCTGAATTCAGGAGCAAGGCCTGAGCTTTGGAAGTCATTTACATATAGGTAGCAGTTGAAGCCATGGAGACACATGATATCACTCAGGGAGGGGATTTAGTATGAAAAGGAAGGATTAGTATGGAACACTGGGGAATGTTACATTTTAAAAAAGATGGATGGAGAAAGAGGAGTTTGTAAAGGAGTATAAGAAATAAAGGCAAAAAAGTGAGGCAAAAACAGGAAAGAGTAGTGTCTGAGAGTTAAGGGGAAAGAGAACTGGGGTCAAGTGTTGCAGGAAATCAAAAGGAAAAAAAAACTAGGAAGTGGCCCTAGGATATTACTAACTCATTGCAAGGGTGGTTTTAGTGGAGTGGTGGAAGCAGAAGCCAGCATGTGGTGAGTCAAAGAGCAAATAGGAGGTAAGGAGGAAAGAAAAAGAAAATTCACTTCTAAAGGCAGATGTAAGTTAATTTTGAGGTGGTAGAGTCTTGGGCATGTTAGTGTGCTGAAGAATAAGAGCCAGTGGGGATGGATAGAGCAAAGGAAAGATGATTTAGAGATGCCCTTCCCTCCTCATCAATGTTGGGTCTTTTTTTTTTATTTTATTCTCCACTTTACAAGTAGTTCAGAACTTCTCAGAATTAGCTAAAATTCTCCCCCAAAGATCCATGCTGTGTAATCCTTAGAAGGATGCTTTCTCTCCATTCCCCCTCATCCAAGTCTTAGCCTTTGTATGCATCATACATTTAGTATTGAAGAAAAATATGGACAAGTCCCTTCAGATACAGTATAATGGAACTGTCCCATCCTCTTTCAATTACTGATCTTTTCAGCAATTCCTGGAGAAATCTGTGGTTTCAGAAACCAGTAGAATTAGGGTTACATTGAACGTGGGGTGGTGGGAAATCTTCACAGTCAGGTTTTATCTACTCGTATTGATATTTATAAATTTTGTTCCTATAAAGAATGCACAAAAGTAACAAGAGCAAAGTCATAATGCTACCAGAATAATGAATGGTCTTATTGTCTTTTTCAGTTTTTTTCCAGAAATATTCTGCACTCCTCAAAGAAAAAAAAACCTTAAAAGAACTCACTCACACAGCAATGGAATGTGTACAAGAAAATTTGACCATTGAAGGTAAAAAATGCTGTAACTCTAATTCAGTTGTTGACTATACTGTGTACCCAAATAAATATTTCCAGTAAGACTCACAGGTTGATCATTCTAAGAAGTTGAGTTTCATGGTCATTTTAAGCTTAAAGTTTACAAATATTTGAGACCTAAAATTCTTTCATGCATGTCTTTAACTTGCCTATTTAAAGAAATAGAGCCTTAATTGTGGAAAAGGTGACATTGTTCTTGGATTTCTTCAGCCTTCATTTCTTCTGAACTTTCTGTGCACAGTTGCTTTTTTTGTCACGTTATCAGGTAAAACTCACTTTCTCAAGAGAGATCTAGTCATTTGTGTTTTAGAAAACATACTGTATGGGCATAAAACATTTCTGGGAGAATACATAAAATACTCTTACAGGTTTACCTTTGGACATTAGGGTTGATGACGTTGGAAGAAAGAGAGTTTTAGTTTTATTTAATAAAAATGATGATGATGGTATGAAGATGATTTTAATATAGATGTGAGTTATTTAAATGTAAAAAAACAGACTATTTTTTAAAGAACAGTTTTGTTTTTACTGCAAAATTGAGCAGGTAACACAGAGTTCCTATATCATTCCCCTCCCCTGTGCATACAATTTCCTCAATTATTAACATTTTTCATTAGTATGATTTATCTATTACAACTAATAAACCAATATTGATATCCTATCACTAATTAAAATTCATAGTTCATTCACTTTTCTTTAGTTTTTAATCTAAGTTTTATCTAATGTTGTTTTTCTATTCTAGGATCCTGCCTAGGCTACTGAATTACACTTAGTTTTCATATCTCTTTTGCCTCCTCTTGGCTGTGAAAGTTTCTCAGATGCTCCTTGTTATTGATGACTTTGACAGTTTTGAAGGTTATTGACCAGGTATATTGTAGGATGTCCCTGTATTGGAATTTGTCTGATGTTTTCTAATGATTAGACTGGGCTTATTGGTGTTTAATTTAAGAAGAAGATCACAGGCATAAAGTGCCATTTTCATCACATCCAAGGTAGGCACTGTCAACATAACTTTTTTATTTCAGTTTCCCCTATTGTTTTTT